AGACGTAGCAAGTCGTTCATTGGACGTTCTTCTTTTGAAGTGTAACTGTTACTGTGTTCTTAAAATCATGGTTGATTTCTAGGGATACGGTGGTCGGAACACCGTACTGGATGTCCCCTGAGATTCTCAACAAAAAGCGCTATAATTACAAAGTGGACATATGGTCACTTGGTATTATGGCTCTTGAGATGATTGACGGAGAGCCTCCTTATCTCCACGAAACACCATTGAAGGTTTTTGATTTGTTGCTATGAGAAGCAGTACTGTTGTTTATTGCGCCATAATATTGCGCTATATCTTCAGGCGATCTACCTTATTGCACAGAATGGAAAGCCTGAAATCAAGAGACGAGACCAGCTTTCTCCTGATTTCTTAGACTTCTTAGATCGCTGCCTCGTAGTCGAACCCGAGGATAGGTAAGCGTTCATTAATAACTGCATATTCAAAGGTGGTTTCAATCTGATAACTGCTGCTTCAACGCCGCAAAGTACTCTCCTAAATTAATTACGAGAGTGCTGAGGTAGTCAAAACCCAGGCGGGGCTGTGTCGTACATCTCCCGCTTACAGGACGGCTGTGATATCCATTACGCTACCGGGCCGCTCTTGGCCCCTCAGCACAATGCTTTTTTCCCCGGTAAGCGGGAGATGCGGGTTAGAGTCCCCTCCAAGGTCTGACTTTTGCCCATGGCTCAGCACTCTTGTGATTAAGTGAATAGTTTCTCAGTTCATTGTCATTTTATGTTTTAGGGCAGACACGGAAGAACTTTTACGACATCCCTTCCTTGCCAGGGCAAAACCGCTCAGCAGTCTTATTCCATATATAAAGGCGGTCAAGGAACTCAAAGAAAAGGAGAAACTCAGTCACAAATAGAGCGGGTTGGATGTGCTTTCATTCATTACATTTCTTTTTTTATCCACCCGCGTCCCCATATCTGTTTTATCTTCTATCTGTATGTTTTCGTATTTGCATTCCACTACTTACGTACTTGTATTATTGAACAATTTTAACGTACTTTGATATCTTTTATACGACGTTTACTGCTGAAAGCGTTCGTATGCTGCACATAATCAGTAACAGGTTACGTATCTGTGTGTGCTTAATTGCTTCGTGTTCTATGATGTTAATCTGTCAAAGCGATCTGGTGCGTACACCTGCCAAGTGCAGCACTTTCTTTGTATCTTTCTATTGCAGCGGTTGGCTGCAATGCTTCCGGTCTATTCATCGTGCTTCTTTTCGCTTTTTGAAACGGTTCAGAGAGTCCATTGCTAGTTAGGACAAAATATTGCATTTCTCCCTATTTTTGTCGTTTAAAACAGAGATTTATGACATTGTGTGTAGTGTGCATCTAGTTACCCTATTACTTGCCGTTGTATGTGGTTGTACATCGGTTCTGTGCGGTCACGATCATTATGTATTTCGTCTTGATCACTAATGCTCATTGAAAGGCATTTCCATCTTGTAGAAATGTTATTTATTTGGTTTCGAGATAAATTGTTCCCTGTGAAACGACCACGTCTTTTGCTAGGGGAGACAAGAGAACCTTAACTTGCCGCATCGTCGCGCGCGGCGCATCGTCTGGCGATGAGCGCGGGAAACTTTAACGTGGGCGTCACGCGGGGGCAGACGCGCGGAATTCAAACTTGCGTTAGTTTCTCGATTGGAGCAGCGAAACTCGTGGAAATCTCCACAAATTTTTTTTGATTCTTTCC